AAAAACACAAAAGGCTCCTGCTCTAAGAACAAAATCAAGACCTCATAATGGCCTCTAGGGCTACAAATTGTTCTCATACCTCATTACCTTTTTTTTTTTTTTTACCAATTGTCTTTTTTCCCATTTAGTTCAGTCTGCTTGAGCTGTAATGACCTCCTAGTTCTTCCTCAAATATGCCAGAATATTCTCACCTGGAAGTCTTTGCACTGGTCTAGAATGTTCTTGCTTCTGTTAGCCACATGGCTTACCCCTTCCTTTCTTTCAACTATTTTCCTAATTGTCACCTTCTCAAGGTGGCTTTCCCTAACCGCTCTTTAAAATAGTGACCCTTCATACCTGTAACCAAGCAATTTGGAGGCTGAAGCAGGAGGATCGTAAGTTTGAGGTCAGCCTCAGCAACTTAGACCCTGTCTCAAAATAAAAATAAAAGAGGCATGGGGATGTAATTCAGTGATAGAATGCCCCCTGAGTTAGTACCGAAATAAAGTAATAGAATAGAATAAAATATTGCCCCCCTCAAGCATCTTAAGCTTAGAAGGTCTCAGTAGGTATTTATCGTACATTTTCAAAAGTTAATTAGGGAGAATTTAACCAAACAAAGCAGAAATTTCAGGCAGGTGAGATGATTAATAAAATTTAAGATCTGAGACTTAAGAGAGTGTTTATAGTCTCATGATATTTGACAGCAGATGGTTTAACCAAAGGAGAACATACAGAGAAGAAAGAACTGGGACCCAGAACTGAACACTATTTGGAGTAATGCTGAACTGAGCTAGTGAGAGGTTAAGAGAGAGCAGAATCATGATGTGTCAAAGCTCAAGAGGAAGTGAATGTACTCGTAATATAGCTTCACATTCATGGAGGATACCCTTAGTCCCTTTAGATTGTCTGCTTAAACTTCATTACTTCTAGTTATCCTGTTTTGACAGATGAGAGAACTGAGGCTTAGTTCTTACAGTCAGGAAATGATGGTGCCAAGAGTTGATTACTGGTATAATTTTTTACCAAGTTCACTTTCTTCAACCTGCAATGCCATCAGGAAGCAAGAAAAGCACTTTCAAGCATTTGGATGTCTGCTCTTAACTTGGTTGTAGGAAATATTGCCATAAATAAAAAAGACAACTTTTAAGAAGCACAAACAAATGGGTAGATGAATTGACCACTTCCAAAAACGTAGAAATGAACACATTTACCTAAGCACTATAAGCTAAAATACCTTTAACATGTGACTGCTATTTAAATGCTGTAGTGATTATAGAAATATGATTGGACTGTTTATTGTCAATTTTATTATTTTCACAAACATTTATTATGCTTGCACTGTGTCTCAGGCATTAAAATATGAGCTAGAGCTATAAAAATAAAGCATAAATGCTGCTCTCTAGGATACCCTGGAGAGATGCAAAAAGGGGCACAGTTGGATAATTATCTGGTACATGAGAGTCACAAAGGGTGTGCGGTGGTGTACAGAGGAAGAAGAGGTCATTTTTTCCTGAGGAGAAGGGGAGAACTCTACTTGAATATCAAAATGTCAGGAGCTTATTAGATAGTTAAGGTTGGAGGCTTTTCCAGACCGTGAGAAGAGGAAGAGTTTATCACAGCTTGCATAGTAGGTTTGAATATTAGCAGGGCTAAGAGTTTCAATATGGATGACTCCTTGGTCAGAGATACGAAGTGGCATGAGACAAAGATCATAGCAGGGCCTCCTGTGCCACACCAATGCCTTATTCTGAAGGGAGGCCAGTGTTGGGTTTTAAGATCCTGCTGGCATTTGAGCCCGCAGATGTTTGAGGCAGATGAATTTGAGAGGGACCAAGACTAAATGCAGTGGGGAGATTTGGAGACTTTTGTCATCTATGCTACTGTCTTACAAAGTATGGTGGCCAGCAGCCAACAGCTTCTTACCAGTCCTTGACAAGGGAAGAAGAAGCTTGTGCTGGATTATAAGCCCACTGCTTCCCTGAGAAACTGTCTAGTTTGGCTGACTACACTCTCATGGCAAGACCTTCTCCATGGAGGAAGCTGGGCTCTGTTGCAGATTCTGGGGCAGCCATTGACCTTGTGGTGGACCCATACCTTGGGTGGCTCTGGTTTATACCACTGATCTTCAAATGCTTTCAATCTCACATGTTTGTAAGTAAAACTTAGTTGAGTATGCAATTCTAATATATGAATAATTACGAGCTCTATACATGTGTCACTGCAATACTGTATTACGCATATTATAAAACACACCAAGTACACATTTTAAAAAGCAATGCTAAAGATAAAATAAGCAACATTTAATTTTTTCATTATGGTAAAACAATGTTATCAACTATGCTTAACTAGTCTTGAAAACAATTTTAAAACACTTTCTGATATGACTGTTTGAAGTCTGCTTCTGATGCCTTTTATTTTGGTTTTGGTGTAAACAGTTGTCTTAGTTGAAAAAGTTACCACACAGACAGGTGCATTCAAGTGGAATTGAAAAACCAGCCTCTACCTCAGAGCAAAGCCTGTCCAAGGAAGGGGGCATGACCCTTGTCCTTGGAAAGACACACAGAGCACTCCTAGGCACATTCCCACCCTGCTAAGTTGTTTATCTACAAATAACAGGAGAGACCTGCTGCGCCAGGTGTCTCTGACTCAGTCAGGCTAGGTGGGGACCCATAGCAACCCCCTAGCAGCCACCAATCAGCATGAGACAGGGAAATACTGGGATGCCAGATGACCCTCCCAGTAGTTTATGGTGGTTGATAACATTTTGGGAAACCATGCAGTTCAGCACGAACACCCCTCTTGGCTTAAACCAATCAGTTCAAACGAATCCCCCTCTTGTACTAACCAATCACCCCTATCCAACTTGTTCCTGCCAGTGAATGTGCTAATCAAGTTTTAGAGTTGTTTTATTATTTTCCTGCGGTGTGTGATGATTTGCTAAGAGATGCTATGATGTATATGGGGTCCCTGCCTTCCCCAAAGAGTGTATAAAACTGCTGCAAACCCTGGGCTCAGGGGCTCTCAGCATCACCATTTGCTATGTGCACACGGAGGACCAAGCTAGCTTGCAATAAACACCTATTTGCTGCTTACATCGATCTTGGTCTCTGGTGGTCTTTTGGGGGTCCCGAATTCAAGCATAACAGAATAAAGTAACTTTGGGTAATCATAAATTAAGAGTCTCATTTTTCATTCCCATTCAGCAAATACGTTTTTAAGGAAAGCCGTACCCTCTGATGATTTGCAAACTGATCTGTGTGTGTGTCATGTTCATGTTTTATACACATGGACTTTAAAACCACTGCAACTCTGTAAACCCATCACCATAACAAATTACCACAGATGGAGTTGCTTAAACAACGGAAATCTGTTTTCTTACAGTTCTGGAGGCTGGAAGCCTGAGATCAAGGTGTCAGTGGGGTTTGATTTCTCCTGAGGTGGCTCTCCTTGGCTTGCAGACGGATGGTTGTCATCCCGACATGATTTTTCCCTATGCATTTCTGGTGTCTCTGTTTTCCCTGATTTCCTCTTGTAAATATACCAGCCAGACTGGATTAGGGTTCTATCCAACATCCTCATCTTAATTTAATTATCTTTCTAAAGACCGTGTCTCCAAATACAGTCACATTCTAAGGTAATGGAGGGTAAGGCTTTGGCATTTGAATTACACATATTCAATCATTTGAATTACATAAATTACACAAGCCCATATAAATTTATAATTGAAGATTATAAAAACAGTTAAGATTCTGTTTCTGATTAAGAAAAACAGATTTTTTTATGGTATTCATCATTGTCATCAGGAAAGCCACAAAACATGAAAATGTTTCTAAACACCTGTTTCTAAAGGCTCTCTCTAAAATACTGGATTCTTTAGAAAGCAACAACTTTCCTCATTCACTGGAGAAATCACCTTTATCTTGAAGATGCAGATAAAGATGTGTTCCAGATTTTACAAAGTACTGATAGAAACTTGTTTTATACTCTGTGCAAAAAAGAAAGAAAGAAAGAAAGAAAGAAAAACACACAATGCATTTAAGTCTGTTGTTGTTTATGAAGCACTTTGCTATGACTTCCCACTTGGAATCACAGTTATTAAGAGAACAGAGCCACAAACCCACTTAACTGGGTGCGTTTAACCTGAAAGGAAATGAGATTGTAAAAGGGGAAAAAGGGAAGAGGCCAAGTCCTCAGGGCTGGAGATTATGCTCTCTTCTCTGGGGAGCATCCATTCTCTACCTGACACCAGAGGGTCATCAATCATCTGTACAAAACATTCATAAAACCTTATTTGTTCTTAGTTTTTTAAAGCACAGTAAAATGTTCCTTCATGTCCCCAACAGGTTGTCTTCTGCCTCTCTAGAATGCTGTGTTCCACTCTGGTGAGGATTAGGCTAGATGCTCAATGAAAGATTCTAAACTAAGGCAAAACCAAGGGAATGGAGAGTATGGTAAGGATAAAGAGGCTCAAGGGACACAATTGACAGAACTTGGTCACTGATTGCATGGGGGCTGCCAGTCTGAAGAAATGCACAATAGGTACATTATACAGCTATTTTAGAAAATGTTTATATCCCATTTTCCCTAATGATTGAAGTTCTTTCAGATATGAATCAAACTATCATTTATTTGCTCCTTTGTGCCAGCCTCGTGCAATGCCCACCCATGTATATTTTCTCTGCAGACACTATAGTGCCCTCTACCTATCTGTAGACCTCATACCTCACAACTCTGCAAACAGGAGCTGCTCCACAAACAGAACCTCTATGAAGAGCCACACCAAGGTGGCTGGCTGACCAGACATCAGAAGGGCATGCAGGGCTTGGGACCTTCTGAATCTCAAAGAACAGGACTTTCTTCCAAGAAATAGCCTGCGCAGCCAGGCAGAAAAATGTTAGCAGAAGCCTTATAAGAACATTCTCTACCCTTGAACATCAGCTTCTCCTCCTCAGTCTCCATCTATTCCAAAACAGTAAAGGAAGGAAACACTACAACATTCTTTTGTGCGTCTTACTCACAAGAGGGTTGGTCCACTGTATACTCCTCCAAATGCATCTTTGTCAATAACTGTCAGGTATTTATTCTTGTTTAGATAACTAGAGAATGAGAAGAAAAGAGAACAAATTAGGTGAGTTCAAGCAATAGTGCAAATACCCAAACAAAATGAGACTATGGGCTCCCTAATTATAAACTATTTTTACTTTACCTTCTTTTACCACAAGTACTCAAAGTATTCTATGTTTCAATTGTGCAAGGTTTATAGACATTAATTATGGCAGAAGTTTTGGAAAATGAGCTTATTTAGGATCTAGTTCGCATATCTAAATTTCATTAAAGTTGCTTCAATTTTCTATTTTCCTGTGCAGTGGCAATTGTGTTTTCAATCCTCTTCAGTAACAACTGATTTAAACTTTGTTTCTCAGTATTGATCAATATTCCAATTTTTTTGGAAGACAGGACTTGAAAACAAAAATAATTGAAATGGGAGCAGACCTCAATGGATCAGCAAGGATTTCTTTATTAAGCAGTGGAATGGCACATTTTCAGGGAAGAAAAGGGCACTGGTTACAATAAGGTCTGATTTTTATAGGGTTTAGTGAGAGTTAACCATAGAGAATGTTTAGTGTGACTTAATCACTGGAGACTTAATCATAGTAGAATGTGTCGGTTGGGTACTCAGGAAAATAGTTGTAGAATGGGAAATTATGAAACTCCAGAGCCCATTGTTTACTTTCTCCCCACCCCCACCCCCAGGTGACATTGTCCTCCCCTCTCCCTAGGGGTTGTTATTCCCCTTTTATTCTGGTGATTGTTGTTTCACCTTTTTCCTGGGCGGGGTGGGGGGGTTGTTATTTTCCATATCCATTAGGACTTCAACTAGGGAGGGAATGGAAGTGGTGAGGGTGGTAAGTGGTGACAGGAAAGGTCAGAGATCCAAATCTTTTCTTTGAGCAAGGTTTTGAGATTTAGCAAATGAAAACACAGGATGCCAGTATAATTTTAATTTCAAATAAACAATGATTTTTTAGTAGAAGTATTCCCCATGCAATTTTTGAAACATTTTTACATTTTACAAGTTATCTGTTATTTCTTTGAAGTTCAGATTTAATTGAATGGCCTGTGTTTCACCTGAGAACACAATTTGGGGAGGGGGACAGGGATTGTTTGGGCAGATAAAATCATAGCATATACCTTCCATGGAAGGGATTTGATGGGCACATTGATCTTTCCATTTTGAAAACATACTGGATATTCGAGGCTGTAATTTTTAAAGCAATTTAAGTCACAAAGTGGTTTTGAAACATAAAATTTCCTCCAAATGGATAAAAGCTTCCAGGGATTTTGAAATTGACCCCCACCATAGCTTTTTTTAGAGAACAAAATCATCTAAAAAGAAATAAAGTACATATATGTCCTTCTTATGAATGATCCCTATTTACACATTTAAAACAACTCTTAGGGCTAGGGCCATGGGTCAGTGGTGGAGCACTTGCCCATCAAGTGCAAGCCCCTGGGTTTGATTCCCAGCTGTACCACCACCACCACAAAAGACTCCAGCATAACCAACTGCTGAGTGGGGGGAGCCTGACACAAAATGAATATAGCACAGAACCTTAGTGAGTCTGCTATGATTCAGATAATGCTTCCATTTATTGTACTGATGGGGTTTGCTCTCAGGATGGAAAATTCTCAAGGATGAAAGTCCATAGTAACGTTGAAAAACCAGCCTCTACCTCAGAGCAAAGCCTGTTCAAGGAAGGGGGCATGACCCTTGTCCTTGGAAAGATCCACAGAGCACTCCTAGGCACATACCCACCCTGCTGAGTTGTTTATCTATAAATAACAGGAGAGATCTGTGGAGCCAGGTGTCCTGACTCAGTCAGGTTAGGTGAGAACCCATAGCAACCCCCTAGCAACCACCAATCAGCATGAGACAGGGAAAATACCTGGGATGCCAGATGACCCCCCAGTAGTTTATGGTGGTTGATAACATGTTGGGAAACCATGTAGTTCAGCACGTACATCTCTCGTGGCTTACACCAATCAGTTCAAATGAATCTCCCTCTTGTAGTAACCAATCACCCCTACCCAACTTGTTCCCGCCAGTGAATGTACTAATCATGTTTTAGAGTTGTTTTATGATTTTCCTGCCGTGTGTGATGATTTGCTAAGAGATTCTATGATGTATGTGAAGTCCCTGACTTCCCCAAAGAGTGTATAAAACTGCTGCAAACCCTGGGCTCGGGGCCTCTCAGCGTCACCTGTTGCTGTGTGCACACTCGGAGGACCGAGCTAGCTCTCAATAAACACCTATTTGCTGCTTACATCGATCTTGGTCTCTGGTGGTCTTTTGGGGGTCCCAAATTCGAGCATAACAACCTCAGAAGAGGTCTTTCTCCACAGACTTCACAGAGAAAGTTCCCTCTGATTAATTGAATCCAGGTGGGTCTTCCTTGTAGCAGTGGGGATAAGAGTTTTATCTACCAACACATCTGAAGAAATCTTCCCCTTCTGGGAAGGAAGAGGGATTAACCAAATAACAGGTAAATACTGGGACTTCATACAGATCTTACAAATTGTATACGTTTTTGAGTCTTTCAATTTTTTCCTTTTTCCTTCTTCTTCTTCTTCTCCTCCTCCTCCTCCTCCTCCTCCTCCTCCTCCTCCTCCTCCTTCTTCTTCTTCTTCTTTTGGCGGGGGGCATCATACATGATAGGCAAATGCTCTACCACTAGCTGCATCCCCAGCCATCATTTTTTTTTCTTAAATGGAGTCAAGAACGACTTAACCTAAAGCAGCCATCCCCAGTTTGCCTCCATACATCTTCATTTCCTTTATAGCATTATCAAAATCTTTAATTACCTGCTTTATTCATCTGTTTGTTTATTGTCTGTCTTCCCAACCAGAATGAAAGTTCTATGACTTAGTCATTGATGACTACCTAGTGCCAAATTCATTGCCTCCTTAACTATTTGCTGGAAGAAAATTATGAATGAGTGAATAAATATATCAATACATCTTTCCTCCAAGATAGTGAGGTGAGCGATGTCAAATTCTGAGGGTGACGTGATTACTTTAAAGAAAAAACAACAGAGAACGATAGAATAGATGATTTAGCATGTGATGTGGTCAAATTGGCCAATATCGACCTTCTGGATGGCAGTAATTATGAGGCAGCTGGTTTACAAAGGGTTTGATCCAGACGTGGCCTCTTCAGGTAATGGCTAGACACCTAACTTCTAGGATGGTGTTAGTTAGCTTTCCATGTTTATAACAAAATACCTGAGAAAAGTCAACTTAAGAAAAGAAAAACTTATTTTGGCTGACAGTTTTGGAGGTTTCATGTCCATGGTCATTTGGCCCTATTGCTTTTAGGTCTGTGGAAAGGCAGTACATGATGGCAGGAGCACATGGTGGAGGAAGATATTCACTTCATAATGGCTGACAAACCAGAGAGGAAGAAGGGGTTGGGTCCCAATATCCCTTTCAAGGGCACATCCCTAATGACTTAACTTCTTCCCACTCGGTTTCACCTCTTAAGGGTTCCACCAACCACCAATAGCACCAAACTGAGGACCAAGCATTTAACACATGGGCATTTGGAGGACATTCCAGACCCAAACTCTAGCACAGTGCATTCATTGTTAAATCTGACAGGAGAGAGATAATTAGTCTCATACATGTTCAAAGACCTAAGATGCCAAAGCAGCCAATTGGTGCTTTTCCAATACTGTCATGTAAGGCTTCATTCATGGTCCCCATTTGATCATATCTTGATTCCTTCAACCCACTACATTAACGACAATCCTTTGGTTAGTGATAACTGGAGTGGGCAAGCGCCATCTTGGAGAAAACACCAACTGGAGAGAAAATCTTGAACCGTGTGATTTTGTAAAATGACAACTAAACTCGGCACAATAGCCACACTGGCTTGCAACTATTTTTTTGTATTCTTTGGACCATGTAGCTCTCAGATCACATTTTGTTCCCAGACTGTTGAAAATCAAGTAAGAGCCAGTGAGCTCATTTCAGTTTTTCCTCTTCATCTCTGACTGTTGCAAGTGAAAATCGGCTCTCATCATCAGAAATTGTTGTAAAACTAAATTATTGCTTGTCCAAATCTGCAGTGTTTTCATCTGATACTTAATACCTCCCTGAGGATAATGAGACTGGTTGATAAGCACTGCAGTTTACCAGAAAGACTGCAGAAACTGGGAAAGCCAGTCAGAGTTAGGAAGAGAGGAGCAAGATGCAGGGTGGGTGCAGCCAACTTAAATGGAGGTGAACTGATCTCACAAGAGGCTGTGTTCTCTAAACCCAATGTGGCTGTTTGGGTACTCAACCTCTTTGAGATAATTAGGTGCTTAAAAATGAAACCATCACTCCACTTTTGGAACTGTGAGGACTGCTTTATTTCGCTTTTAACCTCAGGTTCAAATTTCCTCACCCTCCCTTCCATCTGAAGCTATGGGAGTAGGGTGAGGAAATACAGATGGAGAAAGTATAATATCCAGAAAGGGAGTGCTTCCATCAGCCCCATTTATCACATGACATTTTGGGGGAATGTCAGTCTAGTTAAAAGGATTCGTTAGTCATAACTTATCCTTATTCCATGTTGGCAAGCCCATCACAAATCTTAGTAGATGGAAACCTACTCTAGACAATGATTATTTGATAGGGGATGATAATTTAAACCATCCCTTGCAAGGAGAAGAGGAACATCAATGAACTTAAAAGAGTGTGGGAAGACTTGTAAGAAATGAAATATTTCTTGAAAGTCAGGGTTTCTAAATCTAAGTACTGAGAAAGGCTTATGTGCAAAGAACTGATACTTCTTTTAAAAGTAGGATAGAGGATCAGGGATGTAACTCAGTGGTAGAGTGTTTGCCTAGCATACACAAGGCCCAGTACTGCAGATAAATAAGAGATGCTACCAGAGTTGTGTGTGTTCAATTGTTCTCCATTGTTTGGAGAGACAGGGGTTTACATCTTTTTGCAGACTTGTTGAAAATGATGAAGTTCCTCATAAAAGGGATGTCAGATTTTCCATACAGGGATTTAGGAAGACCTGCCCTGGTTTATGATTGTGTATTTC